AACAGGCTACAGGCACTATAACTACATGAACCCTCGTTAAAATTATAAAAAAATTGCGACTTCCCAAGGTAAACAATCGGGTGGCCCAGTTTATCCTTGCCCTGTTTTTCGACCCTCGTAGTGCCTGGGACAGCCGTATGAGAGGCGATGTCAGGTGAAACGGAACAGAAACTAGCCGAATGCGTGGTTTATGCGCAAATTGCACAAGCTGGGGTCCTTAGCCCAGTGAAGTGTCTAAGGAACAGCTCTGTGTCCAGTTGGCTGCAATCTGTCCTGATGTTGTACTGGGCCAGAACTGCAGACGCCTTAGCTGAAAACGACCAGTGGTAGTCATAAAAAGACATACCCGCGTATTTGTTGCCAAGGTCCACGAGCCTGTGCATATAGAGGTCCAATTCTTCCCTCCTATGAGGGTACACTGAACACAAAACATCCCTATAAATACCAAATGCTATGACAAAATCTGAGATCGACAGTTTTGCCGAGTCTTGGGTCTCTAGCTTTAAGTACCATGAGATACCCCAATATGCGTGTGTGCGATTCTCTATGACATCCTGGGAAGTGATCAGAAGAGAGACAAGATTAACGTCTTTGCCCTCCAGGATGTCTTTTTTGAGATTCGCCGGTACCATGTGGGCTGGTTGATAATGTGCAATCCAAAACTAGCGGGTACATCATTACCCGGTTGTGTCGGTGGTGGGCCTGGAAGATCAGCCATGAGGGGCTCAGTTGCCGTAATGGGAAGATTACGAGCTACCAGTCTGTCTAGCCCGTCAATTCATTTTCCCCATTGAGGACACTAGTGAAGCGATCATCGTGTGGAGGTTGGTGTCGTTTGAGCCCCTCGTGCCCTCCCTAGCATCAGCATTGTCTGTGCTGGTCCGCACGAGCCTGAATAGCCCCGCTTTCCTGGCAGTCGCTGGGCAAGGGATGCTGCGTTTACGTAGCTCAGCTGTGATGTGGGGGATAGTTCATGACCCGATGAAAGCGGGGCTACCGACGTCGGCTCTGCGTGTAGAAGTAGCGGAGCTGGCCAGAGTGCTGGGGACTGACATATTGTCACCGTCATAGGGAATATGAAACATACTGAATATAGTAATAACACTGCTTGTAACCGGGGACATGTACTGGCTGACTAGCTAGTGCCAAGTGGCGAAACCACTCACTAGAAAAGTGACTTAACTAGCTACCAAGTGGCTTGAGAGGCTCTACCTAAGCATTGGTGTGAGAGGTTAGTGGTCACCAAACGTTGTGGCGGGATGTTGGCATCTCGGTGACTGCTAAAACATAAGATAGTAAGGGGGTGACAAGTGAGGCCCTATCGATGCAACGAGCGAGGCGGCTATGATTTGGCCCGAGGGGCGTATTACCTCCTGCTTGGAGGATGGGTGTTGGCCTCGTGGACCACTGAGTCTAAAGCAAAGAGTGACTGAATGAAATATCTAATTGTCCACCTAATTCCCTATGAGCCAGTAAACCTTGTAGTATAAATAGGCTAATGGAGCGGGCCTGGAGTGTCGTACCTGTTGGTAAAGTGTGCTTTAAAGGATCTGCCGTGTGACACTCTGAGATCCCAATTAAGGAGGGAGGCCTAAACCAAATAAAAATGGTATATCTATAGTCATACGGAAATTATCAGATGGATACGACCCATACTACTATAACCTACCCACCTATGAATTAGGGTTGAGGCTTAAAGGGCCGAGCGTGTCTCTGACAGGTACTTTGTAATCTGTAAAACATGGCATACAATAATTTGGGGTTGAATAAAAGTGATGTGTAGTGTACATAAGAAACAGTTTAAAAAGCAAATGTAACTCGTGGTTAACATGTCTTGAGAGATACCTTCCTAAACATTTATTCTGCACCCTGGGATAGTTTTGACTTTGAATGCCATGTTTGATGTTGACATCGCCCTGATTAGTGAATGATTGTGAGCAACCATCAGTGAATGATGTGAGCAATGTAGTCAATAGTTGTAGGAAGAGTGTCTTTATAGAAAGATGCTGCAGGTATGGCGCAGGAGTGTTTCATAGGAAGATAGTGTAGGTGTAATGGAAACATAAACCTGCAGTCAAAAAAATGCAACTGCCTATGAGAGTAGGAACAGCTAAGCGTGGCAACAATTAGATAAATGTGAGTAAAAAGAAGGAGGGTTAACTGTTCATCCTGAGATCACATGAAGTGTTACAGTAGGTGCAGTTCTTTTAGTGAGGAATTGGATCTTGTGCATGTTATAGAACAGTTTAATAGAGGAAAACCGTGACCGAGCGAACCCACAGGAGTATCAGCATGCAACCCTCCCTGGGATCATAAGGACCCTCTGTAGCAGAACACCCACCCTCCCCCCCAGCCGCGTTAAGCAAATGAAACAAATGGACACAGAGGCTCTATACAGCCATAAGGTCTCAGTGTCCACTATTGCTTAACTCCGTAGTCAAGTCCGTACAACCGTGCCCACCCCGCGGGCAAGTGTGGAAGGAGGTGCCCGCGTGGCCTCCGTGCTCGTAGGCCAGGAAGGCTGTGCGAGCAAAGTAAGGTTACAGTTTACCGGATCACACAAATGATGTCACTAGAGGGCACCGACACGGCCATTTATCTGCCGCCGGAGTGTCGACTGGGCTACCGGGCTGGTGGTCGCAACCGTAGGAACAGTGAGCCGGGGCGACGGAGCCACTCAGGAGAGCAGGATACCAGCGTTCTGCAGAGGAAATGGCGGTCTGTAACATGGCAGCGGTAGGGTAAGGAAGGGGGGAGTCCCTTTTAAAGGTTCATAAGCCCCTCTCACAACTTCAGGCCAAGCCTTCCAATATATATATATATATATACACACACACACACATATATCTTAAAGTGCTATCCACATGTTGGGTTGTTAGTATTACAGTTATACCATAAACTCCATTAACTGAACAATACATTTATACAAAACACTATACAATTATTTAAACTTATTATTGTAGGCACAACAGGAAAAATATAAACTAAACTGTTTAAATGGCAAGTACAGTGCCCACCCCTTTGGCAAACAAGAGGTTAATACATTCAGTAACAAGTAACACAATAACTTGTTTTATCTATATACTATATCATCACAAGGCCATTAATAGGGACTAAGAAGGATGTGTGAATGTGATCACATGAAACATACATTTACTTGCTCAAAGCAAAACAGTTAGATGCCTGTTGGACTGCCTTAACACAATTCATGTGCCTTTCAGTAACTAATTATAGCATGTACAATGCCAACCTTGTTTTATTAAAAAAAGGTCTCAGTATTGTATAAATTTAAGTCCCCTTAAAAACTACTTACCCCATTTACCTAACCTAGTAGAAAGGATTATTAGAATTAGGTGTTATATTGATTAGCCATGCTTTTGCCAGGCTAAACATTAAAAATGGTTTAACCCCCCCTAAAGGGCACAGCTTCAAAAACTGGACTTACCCTTAAGGACACAAGCCATTTTTGCTGTTTTTGTTCAAACGCAATTTGCATCTCTGTCATTTATTGCACCAACATATATTATATACCGTTTTTTAGAGGGCAAAAAGGGCATTAATTTGATGTCACATATACAAAGAAAAATTATAAGTAATTGTAAAACAAATGCCAAAAAATGGGGGGGGGATTTTTTTTCACAGTTTTGGCAATAATAGCATGTGCATAATATGTCCAGCTTAATAAAAGTAATTCAAAATAAATTCATTTATGTGTCTTGATTTATAGAGTACATAATATGTATAGGAATTCAGCTTATTTTAAAAGTTACAAAGTTGTGAAACAATTTTAGAAGTTGGTATGTTTGTCATAGGCGTGCGCAGCCTATTGCATTAGGGTGTGCACCCTAAAGCACAAACACACGCCGCATGTGTATATATATATATACATATATACACACACACATACATATACTGCTGTTTGTGTGTGTGTGTGTGTGTGTGTGTGTGCTGTTAGTTCACTGTGTGTGTTTGTGTGTGAGGGTGATGTTAGTGTGATGTGTGTGTGAGGGTGTTGGTAGTGTGCTATGTGGGTGAGGGTGCAGGTAGTGTGCTGTGTGTGAGGGTGTGGTTTGTGTGTGAGGGTGCTGGTAGTGTGCTGTGCGTGAGGGTGTTTGTGTATGTGTGTTAGGGTCCTGTTAGTGTGCTGTGTGTGTGAGGGTGCTGTTTGTGTGATGTGTGTGTGTGAGGGTGCTGTTAGTGTGCTGTGTGTGTGTGCTGTATGTGTGAGGGTGCTGTGTGTGAGGGTGTTGTGTGTTTGTAAGGGTGCTGTGTGTGTGTGTTTGTGAGGGTGCTGTTAGTGTACTGTGTGTGTGAGCGTGCTGTGTGTGATGATGCTCTGTGTGTGAGGGTGCTGTATGTGTGTGGGTGCTGTTTGTGTGCTGTGTGTGAGGGTGCTGTTTATGTGCTGTGTGTGCATGCTGTTTGTGTTAGGGTGCTGTGTGTGGGTGGGTGCTGTATGTGTGTGTGTGCTGTATGTTTGGAGGGATTGTGAAGGTGGGGGCAGATTAGTAAATAACCCCCCTCCCGTCTTACCTTAGGGGGGATCCTTGCTGCCATGTGCCATCCCTGGTGGTCCAAGGGAGAGTGAACTCTAGCCTGCAGGGCCAAAGTTCACTCTCGCGAGATCTGAGCATTGCCGCTGCAACACTCAGATCTCGCGAGAGGAACCTGGCGGAGCTTCTGTCTAGAGCTCCCCGGGTCCTCTCCTGCCTCCCTCCATGCTGCTGTGGGCTGGTGAGGTAGATCTTTGATCTCCCCGCCGACCTATGGAGGCTTAGAGCAGAGCCAGCACTCAGATAGCACCAGCTCGGCATGAGCCGACAGGGGAGATCCGGAGATCTCCCCTGCCGGCAGGGGTCAAGTCCTGGGGAATAAAGTGTGGGAACTCTCCCAAGATTCCCGCCCACCCATAAAAATAATATACACTTGTAATAATAAAATAATATACACATACAACTCCAAACTATTTTACTGATATTGCAAATTGTCATTAGTTAAACATGTATTGCTTAACATTCAGTTGCTCCAAACTATTTTACTGATATTGCAAATTGTCATTAGTTAAACATGTATTGCTTAACATTCAGTTGCTCCAAACTGTTTTTTATTAATATTGCTGTTGGTCCCTTTAGTTAGACACCTTATGCTAGACATTCAGTTTTAATCCAAACTGGTTTTCTGGATATTGCAATGGTCACTTTAATTAAACTTTATTACTTGACTTTCAGTTTGCTCCAACTGTTTTTATTAATATTGCTATGGTCACTTTAGTTAGATTTTTAATGCTAGACATTCAGTTTTGCATTAAACTGTTTCTGGATATGCATGGCCAATTTAGTTAAACTTTATTAGCTTGTCCTGCATTTTGGCCTAATCATTTTTCATTATTTTGCACTTGCCTTCCATTTGGACTTGTATAGTGTGATATTCTCCCCCTGTTACCCTTCCCCCGAATTAACCCTGTATTTTCTGCTTTATTAGCCTGTTTGGTTTTCTGTTGCTGGCACCTTTTCTTTCCTATGCTTTACTCTGGTCACGCACGGACTGCAGCGTTTTACTGCGATCACATTTTTTTACCCCGATCGCCGCGTTTTACCGCGGGCACGCCTTTTTATTCACTGGTGCTGGGACTCCAGGGCAGGTCTCTGGGGGTTTGGGGTTTCGGGGGGACTCTGTTCCATACCGGCGGGCTGTGATTGTATCCTCGATCACGGGCCGCACGGCGCTTTTGCGCGCAAACGTCAGCCATCTTGAATCTCGCGGCACTCATGAGATTCACGTTGGCCATGTCGTTTAGCCAGTTCGTGATTCCCACGAACTGGCAGCTAGATCTGTACTGTTTAAAATCTTTTTCCTACGAAATAAAAGTTTTACAAGTACTTTTGAGCTCAATACTTTTACATATCATGGGCATGTGGAATAAAGGTTTTATATGTACCTTTTCTGGAAGATTAAGAATGGACTGTTCACTGCTGACCTCTATACTGTCATATTACATTGGCATGTGAATTAAAAGTTTTATATGTAACTCTGAATGAATATGTAGGACTGATCCCTGCTGTGTGCATATAGTGTATGCAGTACTCATGTCTGCTGGCAGTTTGTTCTATTCTGTTCTATAAAATTGTCATGTTGAATAACAGTTTAATGTGCGTCTGGAGGATTATGAATGGACTGTTCCCTGCTGTGGGCATATAGTGGATGCATTACTCTATCTGCTGGTAGGGAAATTAAATAGAGCTGATAACTTACTCAGCTCCCTACTCCCACTGGACCTCACAACCACTGGATACACTTCTTCCCCACAGGGATACACCTCCCAGGACACAGTAGTGGAGGCACATAACTGAGTGATTAACAGGGGTGACCCCACTTACGCTGGGTAACCCCCAAGCATGGCAGACATCTCTCCAAAGTGACATTGTGGTACAGGGGTGATCCCCCCTTACGCTGGGTGACCCCAAAGTGAATCTGGTTCCTGTCCTTGTGACATACATATACTGGGGTGAACCCCTAACGCTGGGTGAACCCCCTACGCTGGGTGAACCCCAAGCGAATCTTATTCCGGTACTAGTGACATACATATACTGGGGGGAACCCCCACGCCCTAGAACGGGCTCATATACACGGAGTACAATCTGTTACTGTATGCACAGATCGGGATACACTGGATACATGTATATCGACAGAGCCAGGAAGGAGAGCTCACAGTGCTGCCAATTCTCCACAGTACTATATCCCATAAGGGTCACCCCTTGGATAATTTGGAGGCTACCATACCTCCCCATACACGCGCTATGTCCCGACATTACTGACCGCTCATCCCGGTCTTATTGAGGGTGACCCCCTCCTTAGACCACTCCCAGGAAATCTCTATGTGGTACTGATTGAAACAATTCTGGGTGACCCCCAGTCGTATGTGAAGGCACTCTAAGTGGCAATAAGTGTACTACCATACCTGACACCTGTTCGGTACCCCACAGACCGAAAGAATGTCCCAACATGCCATAAGAGACATACATACAGGGGTGACCCCACTACGCTGGGTGACCCCCAAGCGAGTCTTACTCCGGTGCTAGTGGCATACGTACAAAGGGGTGACCCCCGCGCCCTTTCTAGGGCTTCTACCTTCAGAGTACGCTCTGTCATTGTATGCACAGACCAGGGCGCACTAGATGCATGTATTCCGGCACCTCTATGCTTCAACTGGGGGATCCATACGCCCTTCCCTTAACCGATAAGGAGAACTCACAGTGCTGCCAAAACTCCACAATTCTAGGCCATATAAGGATGACCCCCTTGCATTATATATATTGAGGCTTTCACGTCTCCCATACTCGGGCTACGTCCCAACATTGCAGACCGCTCATCCAGGTCTTACTGAGGGTGTCCTCATTTTCAGACCACTCCCCAGATCCTGCGAAAGTGGTACTGATTGATTGAAATTCTGGGTGACCCCAGTTATACATGGAGGCCCACTGAGTGGCAATAAGTGTACTGTTGTACGATCCTGTCTCCCACAGACCGAAAGGGTTTGAACCAATATGTCGGACTTCCCTCAATATCCCCGACCGATTTTCAGGCAAGGATTAAGGCCGCCATGACAGCTTCGGGGGAAGAAGACCTCGCCAATATGCTGGCTAACAACCCATCCGACAGGGCGGGTGCAATGGCACCAACACCAATGAAAGCGAAAGATGCCAACAACGTTAGGTTGGACACCTTTTCATCTAAACACCATTGGAAGGGCTCCAACGCGGCTTCTCCAAAGGGGAAAGGGAACACCCCAATTTAGCGGAGCCGTCTCTCAGAACGTCCTGTCCATTAATCATCTCAGGCTCCATCATCAGGGGACAAGGACTTCATCCCTCCCCTTTCTCTGGAGATCATGAAAGAATGGAGAGCAGAAGAGTCTCCATCTGAAGAGGTAAAGTGACAAGACCCGCCTAGAAAGGCTTTTCTTTGGCACACTGGACACTCTTGTTTTGACTCACGCACCATCCAACACCAAGGGTCATCCGAATGGGGTTTACCGGAGCACCGGGCACACTTTACCCACTTCTAGCTCAGGAGGCCTATGGGAAAAGAAGTCAGAGACAAGCTCAGGGGAATGCCCATGCCCTCTATTACCAAACAAGATACTCCTCCCCATGGAGTTCGGTATCACTGTGGTGATATTTATGTCCCGATCAGGCCGGGGTCCATGTAAAGGTGTAGGAGAAAGACTCAAAACGAGTTAGGATGAAATACTGGACATGATCAGCCCCATGAAAAAATTCTATACTTTGCGGACCTGACCCCACCCAAGACTCACCTCTAGAAGCTCACGATGTGAGGGAATGGGTGCAAAGGGCAATATTTAGGTTGAGGAACGCAAGGCAGACAGGTGCACAGAATGGCGTAAAGCAGCCCGATTAAAGATGGATTTCAAACTATTGAAGTTAGAGACGGACTATTGTTTGGAGAACCATTTATCTCAGCAACGGTTTGGTAGTAAGGAAGAAGACAGGAGACTATCGCCCAGTCATCAACCTACGCCAACCCAAAGGTTTTGGGGTATACCGACACCTCAAGAAGGAAGGTATCCATCTCTTAGGGGATCTACTCCTTTGAAAGGGGTTCGCAAGGTTGGATTTGAAGGGCACTTACCTACTGGTTCACATGGTGCCTCATGAAGTTTCTGAAGCTGGTCACAGCGCACTGAAGAGCAAAGGGTATCCACTGTCACATACCTTAGACGACTTACTGACCTTTTGCAAATCCAATTGCTGACTACGTTTACAGACGAGATTTATGTTTACAGTTTTGGGAATTGTTGGGATTCATAGTGAACAGAGAGGAGTCGGTTCAATCCCAGTTCCGAGTGATTCAGTTCCTCTACGTCGGAATAGATTCCACCTTGGGCGGATTCCACCTTCCCACATCATTGATAGCGACGATTCGTAAGGAAATTTGAAGGGGACGGCGGAAAGGCACCATAACACTTTGACTATTTCCCAGGACTGCTTCACTACCGGGCCAGACAGCGGCAGAAAGCTCACTGCCTGAGATCCGGACACACCTATGAAATTGGGATCAGAATAGCGAAGACTTCGACAGCACTCATTACTGTGGTAAAGGAGTCAAGCGTGGCACCCAGAATGGTTGTCCTTAATCGGGATCATCTTCTGCTCCTTTAGCTTTAACTTGCCTTCGGGCAGATCCAAAAGGAGAACATCATCCATTGATAATGCAGGAGCATCTGGAATTGGTGGATTGGTGTCTTTCAGGGGAGACTGGTACGTCAAGGGACTATCACAACCAACTAGAGACATGGACACCAGGTATTCCCCAAAATAACTTATCTGCATGGAACACCTGGAGTCGCTGGTATATGGGAAGGGACTGCGATCCCTTTATTACCCCTATCTCCTCGATGCTGAATCTTTATCATACCTTTTCGCTACGGGCCGATACGTTCCGCGATTTCGACGATGCATAGCACGATTCATGACACTCCGGTCGATCAGGAGCCTTTCATATGCTGCTTTCTGCGGGGTATCAAACTGTCCAGAACCATGCGTCAAAGTATCACTGTTGTGGGACTTTGATTTGGTTCTTTTGGAACTAGTCAGATAACACGGACCTATCCCTCCGTCAGCTGTCAGCCATAGTCACGTTACTTTTAGGTCTTTTCGACGGGTATCAGATGTACTGGAGTTCGACGTAGACGGTCTTTTCGGTATCACCGGAAGGAATGATTTCTACGGTGTCTCGTAGAACTAAATCCTATCCGCGTCCGTATCTTACCCTGTTCCCGGCGGGTTTCCCAGTCTTTGTGCAGTTAAAACGGTACTTCGTTACATGGAGATCACGACAACACTTAGATTGTCACATTCAGGACATCTACTGGTCCTATACCAACGATACAAGCCAGTTACCATGAACACTCTGTCTAGATGGGTTCATTGGTTGTTATCGCTAGTGGGGGTGGAGACGTGTTTTGGGTACTCATTCGGTATGAGGCGCGGCTGCTTCTCAGGCCTTCATGGGGGGGGCCTCTATATTTTACAGCAACGAATTGGACACGGATAGACTACTTCCGTATATTTTTGTCAACCACACACGCATCCTTCTCGCTCATACTTGCTTTAAAAATGCAAAATATGAAGCCTCCTGTCATGTGATAAAATTGTAAATTATGCTAACGTAGTGTACCTATAATCTGAATTTTAATAATGACAGGAGGCGAATATTTTCCCTTCCTGTTTCCCTCCCTATACTCTGGAAAATTTTTATATTGTGGTTTGTCATTTTCTCAGTG